GATTTCCTTTATTTGTATAAATAATAGGGGCTGTTAGTTGAACTAATAAGACTTTAAAGAAGTTTCAGAGATTATATTTCCATCTGAGACAGACTCAAACCCATCTTGCATAAGTAGTTTCTACTTAGATTGGTACGAAATCCACAACATATGAATGTTTAAGAAGATTTGATACATGCCTTCAACTAAAATCAAGTTAATCTTAACACCCGTGAACAATTTCAAAAAGTTTTATCCACCAAAAAAAACGCTGATGAGCAAACAAAGAATCAGAAATGATGTATCTTAAGGTAACCGTAAAATAAAGTCAATTTCTTTGAAAAAAAATTGTTTTCATCATCAACTACAGAGTACAAAAAAACTACTGCTACAGCCAATTTATTTCAATTTGAGCTGTTTGACTGAAATACAATTAATTCAACTTATGACCTAACTTAACAACTTCAACTGTCTTGACATGAAAGATCTTCAGTTTCTAAGCCCTAGGTCCAAAGGCATAACCGCAATCTTTAAAGAACTGATACTGTTCCGCAGACCGAATAAATGTCAATTCATACTACAACCACAGACACTTATTCTGAAGTTAAATCAAAAACATTGTCACAATGATAACCCACCAATCACTGTTTAAGAGTTATAAGCGATGATAAAGTAATTACTTTCAATAGTACTCATGCTAACATATCTCAAAACAAACAGAAAAATCAAAGACAGAGTTCACACAGAAATTCATAAGGTTCGATTCGCGACACTTTACAGTGCCGTGAAAACAACACAGGAAAAGAAAAAGCTTAAGTAGACAAAATCATATCGAAGAGGAAATTTACAAATAAAGGTTATTGAAAATATCCGATACCTTAAACTAGACAAAGGTGTATAAATTTGTGATATTGTTATCATTTTTAAGGTAAACTCTGATGTTTCCAACCATTGATTTTTAAAATATCGACTATTCCACCCGGGTAGACTATATACTCAAGAAATCAGAAATTTCACAAACATGTCACATCTTGTTTTGATCAATCTTAGCTATGTTTCTACATGGTTTTACTTCAGCTTACATCACGCACTGAGGCAGGCGTTGGCTCAGCATGAGCAAAACATGCCCAAGCAAACTCGGTCAACGAAGGTTCATAGTTTCATCTGCCGAATTAATTTCTTTGTCTGATGCTCTACGCCTAATCTCAACAATGGTCACTTTGTAGTTGCACTACATACGAGTAGTGCTACGAAGGTGCCTTTAGACTGTTTCTTACATACTTGAAGTCAAACAAGTTCCCGAAGGGAAATAAATCTTATATCTTTCGTCTCAGTCTCTCAAGTAAGCCTAAATAATTGCTAATGCTATTGCCTTTTCAATCTCTTCTGCTTTCGCCATTCGCAATTATTCTCAGTTGTTGTGACGGCCCTTATTCAGTACTCGTTTAATTCGCTTTCGCTCCTCATTGCGACCAGAAACAACTTAAAAATGGTCCTTCGAGATTCAATTAGTTTGAGTGAAAAAGAGGAAATAATTGGACATTTACTAACCTCTGGACGTATATTAACAACTACCCTTATTGCAGTTTTTGCACCAGACTGAATATGGTGCTAGCTTTCTCTGAGCTGGAATGGCTACTATGTCCACCTAAATGCTTAGATATCTTCTACTTAAATACACACTTGACGTCTACGTTCTTCGAAGGATACCTCAGAGGTTTCATTGCTACTTTTTTCTGCGCCTATTAAGACTCAACTACACGCCTGCCCAGAAGAAAGTACGATGGGAGTTCAAACAGGTACTACAAGGTAAGTAGCAATCCTTTATTTGAAGTTTACAATGATTAGTTTTAGCAGTGTCAACGAGATAATACTTGTAATTTTTGAAGCTACAGCTGATCAGAAACAACTGGTTGTAAGAATGAAATTGTACAAGACAATCACTATTGTCGATTCTTTGGCATGAGATACCGTAGATATAACAAAAATGTCTTTCCGATAGGCCCAGCTCCCTAAATGAGCATCATAATCATCCTGTAGGATAACTTTACGTGAGAGTTCTCTTTTATACAGGGAAATGTATCTTTTTTTTGCCAAAACTCATTCGTATATCTTCGAAAATAAAGTCAATGTGCATGTAGGTAAAGACTATAGACAAGTCTTGTGTGTCCCAATCATTTCTAGGTTTTACATATACATTCCGCTCAACGGCGTAGAGATGGTTATCGGTTGGTATTCAGTCAAGCAAAGTGCTTTCTGTTGCGAGACTTATACCCTAGCTATTGACTCTTCAGACAATCAAGAGCTGAACTTTTCAGGCTGAACACATAGGTCAAGTGAGTGAATTTAATCGATCCTGTATAAGTGTATCATAAACACAGCAAACATAAAAGCTATGCTATAACACTACTGAAAAAGCATCTATATAATATCACCTATAACCATTTTTTGAATGAGAAGATACTTTTTCCTAATAACCAAATGATTAGGAGTGATTTCAAATAGGTTGAAGCAAATAAGATTAAACAGTAAGCATAAACTCCTTAGTTCAATAAATGTATAACAAAAAGAGGAAATCATCAAATATCATTATCATTATTGTTTTTTCCTTAGCTTCCTAGTGGAACATAGGGCTTAAGTAGCACGCCTCCATTCCACTCTGTTGTCTGCAATCTTTTCAAACTGATTCCACCACTACCCACAAGCTTTCACTTCTTCCTCACATCATCTCCTCATGTCACCCTCACCTCAAACACCCAAATCATCATTTCCCCCTTGGATTCCACTCGATGGCCTGGCCTGGAGCGTGATGTCCCTAATCGGTCTTCTCAGTGTATACCCAATCTCCACTTTCTTCTACTGCATATCTGTCAGGTGATGGCTTGTTGGTTGATTCGTTGCCAGCCAGCCAGCCAGCCAGAGTTCCTTGTTGCTTATTCTTATTATTCTGGCCATCTGATCTGATTTTCAGTATCGAGTGAGCGTAGGTGGCAACTGTTGATGATGTATGTTTGTAGTTTGTTGGAAATGCTTTTGGTGACACGCCAAGTCTCTCAACCATCACATGGAAGTAGTGACCTACTTGACTGGTATTAGTGTTGACAATCCGGATGTTGTAGATGCTTTATACTGAGTGGAGTGGAGTGCAGTAGATCTCCACACTGATTATTTCAGGTTATTGCAGGAAGGCCTGTCTTGGTGTCTTTCGGATCGTGGCTGGCTTTGACGTCCTCATCTTTGCTTGTGCTGCCTGTATTTGAAGCGATTTTACCTTGTCTAGGTAGGTAAGCGAGACAAGTTCCTTTAAGTTTCTCATGTTATCATCATACATAATACATACTTATTGTGTTATAGCTTGAACTTTAAAACAGAGTGTGTGTATGGTGGTCTTATTCTGTAACACTAAACATGCTTATTATTCATCCATTATGGAAAGAAATTCAAACAAGAGTTTTTATTCAATAAACTATAGGACTTTATACAATTTTTTTCCTTCAGAAATTCAAATATAACGGTAGAATTAAATACAGAGTAAATACTACCTAAAATAAAACTTATCAAGCTGCTCTCTCTCTCTCTTTCCCTCTACCAAACGAACTGCTCACTGAGACAAACAATGGTTAACAAGTCCTCTCTTCATGATACCTCTAATTACATATATCAATTCATATGTATATACTTAAGCGCATGCGTTGAGTGAACAGAAAGAAGGGATTTTGTCTGCATGGTTGAACATATTCCAAAGGGATTTCAACTGAGAAGTGAAAAAGTCTTCAGCCATGCTATTACTTGTCACCTTATCGATAGTGGATATGAAGTCGATATTCAAAAATGTTTTAAAAATAATTAACAAACAGATGAATTCAAATTTGTTATATTTCACTGAAGCGTAGGGCGCTAAACGATTACCACTAAACTAATGTATTCAGAAAGAAACAGTTATCAGTCTATGAGTACCAAGGTAAAGACTTCGGTTGATAATTATCATACTTTCTTACATATCATCATTGCATTATACAAGTTGGGCATTTTTGTTGTTAGTTTGCGTTTCACACCTTTGATCTAATTATCTGAATTCTATTTACATTAGCTATTAGTAAACATAAATCTTACGAAATAAGACACATTTTATGTAACCTTTCTTAATACGTTGAATATATTTATCTCCTTAGTGTTATCCGACTTCCGCTCTAGAATATGCATCTAATCCTTCTATATATTGCTGAACTTCGTTCGGTATGTTAGTTCTGCATATTTATTCCCATAATTCGTGTCTTTTACGTGGCAAGCAGCTAATGAGAAATCCCGAAATAAGTTTGATCCATACTATTCTGCTCAAGTTGTTATTCTTACAGTTTTTAAACTGCAGAATGATATCAATATAACGACCATTGCATCAACAGTAAAATGAAGTTAATTACTATTTATTGGCATACTTGTTATTTTCTGTTGTTTTATTGGATCAAATTGCTAGCAGAGAAATATAGGACGAACGTTCCGTCCTATTTCGGATTCGTCAGCTGCATGTATCTGCACCCCAGTGATGTTGTTCCCACTGAGACTCAAACCACGGACGAAACGCGCGTCCTGGATTCTTCTGCTAGCCACAACCAAATTATCATAATTAACACTCAGACAATATCGACGCATCCGCATAGGAGCCCGTACGCCAATAGACGTCGAACAATTCGATCCAATAAAACAACGGAAAATTACAAGTATATATCAAATACACGTTATATACAAGAAGTGGCTATCGATCCCCTGTGGCATAATGGATGGCGCCTTGGCGTTTCAAGCGATGGGTATGAGGTTCGAGTCTCAGTGGGAACAACATCACTCACTGGGGTGCAGATGCATCCAGGTGACGAAATAGGAAGAAACACGCGTCCTGGATTCTTCTGCTAGCCACAATGAAATGAAATTATCAAAATGAAGTTAAGCTCAGAATAGACAGACTTGCAAAAATAACTTTCTAAAAAAATAGGAAATATTTTGACAGCAAAAGAATTAAAAATTACCTCCAATGAAAAATTCAATTGGATACCAATTTTATTCTTAAAATTTGTTTCATTAATTTCTTCATTATGCTCTTTATAATTTAAACTTGGTGAATTTGTGCCAACAGTTTGTGATCGACTAACTTTTTTAAATTTCTGAAAACTACTTGAGCCTCTAGTCACAGGAACAGACTCTAATCGTAGCATTAACTCCCCAACCATTTTACGTAATTCATCTGTATATAAACTTTCCATATCTTTAACGACTAAACGAGGAAATTGACGATTCTATAATAAAGACAAACAAAATACAACAGTAATAAATGTGACCGTTATCATAGTTAACAGTGACTAATAAATAAATATTAAAGTTTGAAATATTTAGAAAGAATATGATAAGCAATAAAATGAGCAGACTTATTAATTCAAATGTAAAAGATGATTAAATGAAACGTTTATTATTTTAGTCCCATATACCAACAACAGTTTACAGTTTATTTGACGAGTACAGATAGGATAAGGTTAAAAATTATCCACAGGTTTAATCGTCTTTGACATCGGTTGTACTGTTGTTCGTGAAAATACGCATATTTTCGGCTTTCTTCATGAATATTTTATTTATTTATACAGTTTTTTCCAATGTCTTCTATCACTGAATTGTATTTCATACCGTTTATTTATATACGAAGCATTGAATGCACCTTCACTTCTTAGACAGAAAATAAATACAGTTATTCACTATGCTCATAGATCGAAGAAAGTTAATTGAGGCTTGGAACTGCAGCAAAAATGACTTATGCCAGCAGTTTTCACTTAAGAATATATCCATACAGAACACAGAAAATACACATTTTCATACAGGACACCTAAGGATAACTTTTAGCATCAACTTTCAGATACAATAACAAGCCTGATGGTGAGTAGTCATTAGACTGAAACAGGATACAATATGATTATATTTTGTCTGATAGGGAAGAGCAACGGGTCGGAAACCCAGTGGTCGATGCTTTGAATCCGACCTCGGTCCAAATTTTCATTTCACCTTCAATCATCACCCATTATCAATACTAGTCCCCCAAACCACGGTTATCTCAGATGGTCAAAATGATAATCAATACGATGCCCATCTCTCTAATTCAGTTACATTTGGAGTGGTATGAGAAGTCCTTGACTAGGCAACCAGTGTGAATACGACCAAGTGGTAGTAACGCGTCAAGAATTCACATAGTAGTTGGGTAAAACCCTTAATGGTTGAAGTGAAATAAAAACCTAGTCAGCAGTCGGACCTCGTAGGTGAGGTGGAAGAGCCTTGAGCCAGAAACACAGTGGTCACTGGTTGGAATCCGGTAGAGGTCAAATTCTTATTTCACCTTCAATCATCACCCAGTATATATATATATGAGTTATGGAGTTTTATCTACAAGTTGACCAGTAGCTTATCCGATGGAATTGTGCGTAATTGGTTGCTTCTACTTAGGTATTATCATTGTCTCCATAGTTATTTCAATTGGTTGTCCTGATGAGGTGAACTTTGATCGTTTTGCTGTTTCTTCTTGGTTGATAGATTGAGTCAATATCAATATGTCTGTTGATTGCTGCCTGACCTGAATACCAAGCTTCTGAAACCCATCTGGCATTCCTTGTATTTCCTTGATCACGACTATATTATTGAAGTCTTTTGGAATTGCTGTAGTTCACAAGCCCAGAAAATATCTCTTCACTATGTAGCCAAAAGAGATAATCGCAAAGGAAGACAAACCAAAAACATTATCTACAAAGTAAACTGCAGAAACTGCAACTTAGTGGTCACCCTATTCGTACTTGTCTACGTGAACACCATCAACAAGTAATGAAGAACCAAGACATATCGTCGCTCTTATCAATGCATACAGAGAACTGCAGACAAGAATTTTGACTGAAAAAATGTAGGAATCTTGGATAGAGGAAATATAACGAATACTAGGGAGGTTTCAAAAACTTGGTATTCAGGTCAGGCAGCAATCAACAGACATATTGATATTGACTCAATCTATCAACCAAGAAGAAACAGCAAAACGATCAAAGTTCACCTCATCAGGACAACCAATTGAAATAACTATGGAGACAATGATAATACTTAAGTAGAAACAACCAATTACGCACAATTCCATCGGATAAGCTACTGTCAACTTGTAGATAAAACTGCACAACTCATTTCTGAAGTTTGTTCCAATGATGTTGTCTAGAATGACAATGTTAGCTTCACAACTAAACCATTCAGCTCAGAGAAAATAACACCACCAAAATTATCCTCCTGAGCTAAAAATATTTTCAATCACTTAAAAAAGTGATGATGGGTTCACGCGATCCTTCTGCTTGTGTAAATATCTACACAAGGATACAAATTATGTAGATTACCTTGTTAATGTTTTCTATGTTAACATAACAGTTGAACAACATAAAACAAGTTCCAGACGAATATTATGCTGCCTTCTTAAACAGAAATCGCTCAAGGTAATCTAACACAAATCTCTCCATTACTGAATTAAAGATCATAGTCTATGCGTGTCATTTTTATTTATATCTTCAAATTCAATGTGCTTTGTATAAATTTCTATCTAAACATTTCCGGTAAGGAAGTGACAAAACTACCGAACAGTTTAAACATTTTTTTAAAATTTATTTTGAGTAGAAAAGATGATTTGTCACAGAGAAAAGAAAAATTAAAATTTGACAGTTGAGAGAAAAAAAAATTTAAAAACCATTTTGAAAGATTTCAGTATCTTTCAATGATATAGGAAATAATTTATTTTCATTGATGAAAATAGTCTCATAAACATATAATCTGTCACGAAAATCCTATGTTGTTTTCAAATTATCCACCGATGAAAGAAAAGAATTTGAAAACTATGTTACTACTGTTAGTAAGAAGTGAACTGATTACGTCAACCTGAAGATATGTAAAAGTTTAAATTCTATAACTAAAGAAATAGCCTTTCCTTCGTATCCTGGATACTATATGTTCAACTATCCAAATATTCACATATATTACTATCTCCAATCCAAATTCAAATCATATCACTTAGAACTAAATTCTGTGATATAACTTCAAAAGTCGACGAGCTCTATACAAAAGTCCAGTTCGAAAATCTAATTAATCACACTAAGAATCTAATTCCGGTTTTATATGATGATGCTAACTATTTCATCAAATCAACAGTTTTGAATTGCTGTCTTGACTATGTAAATATAAAATCCATCTATCAAAACCTTTTGGTTATAAAAACATCGAAATCAATTGAATGAATTAAAGAAAAACAAAAATTTGGCCATAATACGCCTGGACGAAGATTCTGAACTAATACTACTAAATACATCAGACTGATTGGAAAACTTTCACTCATTCCATCCAATGATAATAAAGTTTTAAAACAGACAGTACAGAAATATCCAGCTGAGTAAATAGAGCTGCAAATGTCAAAAGTACTGAAGAAAGTAAATGAATCATTCATTGACAAAGAAGTGTATGAACAACTTTGCCCATCGGATTCTACAATCCCCCGCTTATACGGTATTCTTAAAATACGTCAAGATAGCATTCTACTCCGTCCAATACTAGATATGATAAACTCTACATATCATTTAATCACGAAATGCCTTGTAGAAAAACTTGAACCTGTAAAGAAGAGGCTATTGAATTATAGTCTTGATGACACATTTGATTTTGTCGACTCAATTAGGAATATCCGTTAGGTAGGCAAAAGGATGATTTCATTGGACATCGTGTCCCTCATTACCAATGTCACACTGAAAGAAACCATTTGCCTCTTATGTAAATTCATTCAGTGCCATAATATAGAGTCTGCTATTCCAATTCACTTGTTAAAAGAGCTACTTCGATATACCTTCAATGTATATTTCACATTTAATGATGAAATCTACAAGCAGATAGACGGTGTCGCAACGAGATCTCTACTGGCTGACTGCTTCGTGCCAAGCCTGGAAAACACCAGCTTATCAACAACAATCAATGAACTTCATGTCTACAAAAGATGCATTGATGATAAAGTTTGTGATGAAAATATGAATCCTAAAAACCTGCTTTATACTTTCAACAACCGTCGCATCTCACTCAAATTCACTTTAGAGTAAAAATTGAACTAAACGTTTCATTTTCTCGATGTTCGACTCTAAAGCAAAGACGATAATTCACTTCATAGATCGATCTGCAGAAAGCCTACCTGGAACGAACAGCTTATTAATTTTCTAAGTTGGATCCCTCAAAGTAGGAGGAGAAATTTTATCCATTCACTTTGTTTAAGAATCATGGAAATATGTACTGAGGACACTGTTAACAGGGAACTCAAAAATCTTTAACGAACTCTGATAGAAGACGGTTTCCCCCGTAGATTCATCGATGAGAACATTAAGCCAAAGAACCGAACTGAACGAACACATTTGGCTCTAAAAAAGAGTCTATTGTCGAATCTTGAATTCAGAAATGATATTGCTGCGGACAACCTCAAGAAACGACTGTCGAAATCCTTGAATTGAACATACTTCGCCGCCAACCTTCGAATTATTTTCTTCTGCAAGAAACGTTTGGTTAATGTGTGAAAGACAAGCTGACACATTGGGCCACATGACCATGTGCATACCGGTTCACTTGCTTATGTGGAGCTGAGTATATCGGCTGTACAATGCATACGCATGTTTAGGGTTCTCGCGCACACTAACCAGGCTGGTTGACAAAGAGAGAACGGAAATATATCTTCAGCTGAATTTAAAAAAACACCTTGTGGATTCAGGGCACTTAGCTTCTTTTCAGTAGTCATTAAAAATCCTCTACAAGATTCGATCAAACCACTCGAAGGGAATACAGAAAAGGCATTTGGCTTTAGCTGAAGCACTAGCCATTCATAAGTTCAAACCAGCGTTGTTTTTCCGAAAAAGGTATGGTCAACCTTTATCTTTGCCATGTCCACTATAAGCCCTTGGCTGTCATAGATTCATCCTGTATTATGCAATTATACATTTTGTTTTAATAATCCTTTGTTTATTTTCCCATTCTAAACTCAAATGTATATTAATACACTACTTTCGGTTATTCAGTATAGTTTACCCCCCGACAGGGAAGTTCTAAAACATTCTGTTCTCTGTAACATATATTCACTAATGTACAGCTTCATCGAAAGTAAAAAAGTTTCTTCTGTGTAACCGCGCTTTTTCTTTTCCTATGATAAAACTCATAGCGGTTTAAAATGCTTTTTCATTGATAGGAAAGTAGTTTATGTCAATCTGATACAGAAAGCAAGCGATATACTGTATACACTCTACATACAGAAAAGCAAAGTATGTATGGATCTAGATAAACTCACCAACCTTGTACACATTCTTGGAGTAGGGAATTAGCGACACCTATTGTATGAGGGCTGGTGATGCTACTATCTGGATGCCCAAACCTGGTTGGGTGGGGCGGGGCTCAAAGCCATAACCCATTAGCTGGAAGTTAACTCCCTAAACCAGCGAGCCACAGCTCAACAAGTATGTATAAACTCAATGTAAGACGTGCAACCTTGTTTACTGTGATAGTTAATATAATCTTTCCTCATCCTAGTGCAAAAACAGATAGTTGACGAATGAAAACCAAGCAAAATATCTGCATAGTTGAACAGTCTGAAAGCCAATTGTTAAGCAGACATTAAGCAAAACGATTTGCCGAATTTCGTGACCAAGGTTGATACTCTATATTGCAGACCGAGATATTTTGAATTGATAAGTACCATGTTGAATGAAACTGGTAGTTGAACATGATTTATATCAAAGAAGCAATAAATTCTTAATCAGCTGAATAAGCTGAAGATTTATACAGTGGTTGTTTGACAGCTGTAAGTTTTCTGAGTGTTGTAACTGTTCAAACTTGACTTCGGTTCGAAGTCACTTTAGTATATACGTCTCTGCGTCAAATTTAGTGCAATTTCATAATACTTGAGTAGCATAGATCAACAGAAGACAACTAGTAAATAAAACAATGAGTAACTGTCAAAAAAGTCAAACCCAAAATGGCAAACTGATCAAAAAACTTAACAAATAGCATGTGCATATGCTACTCACTCCATGGAGAATGATGTTTCTATGCATATACGAATCATTTGTTATCTTAATTTCTCAATGAAGAAATATTGTAAAAGCCGAAGTTCATTTTTAAACGTTTCCTGGAGGATCCTAACCCCTAACAGCGATGCAACTATCGGTGCTTCAAGGTTGATTTTATCGTTCGAAGAAAAACTCATTACAGATTTTCAGGGTGCAATCAGTTCAAAGCAAAGGTAAATACCGTGCAATAAACAAATAGGGGCATAATTGCTTGGTCACGATAGTAAATGTTACGCTTAATCATTCATTTAGTATGTATTTCACTTGTATCTAGCTGAAAATAAACCTCTTAATTATGAATTCGTCATTTGGTTTAAAAAACATAATTAAACAAAGAACTAAAAGAGAAAAAACCTAAAAATTGTAAGGATCCACAGAAAATTAACATCTGGAACTCTGCTTGTAAAACACTACAAACATAGCAGAAAGAGAGATAACTGTTTTGATTTTCTTTACCACAAAGATTTAAAGGTTTTGGGGGATTTATTTATTGATTTCAGGTTCGTATTCATCAAGAACTGACATCAATTGCAGAAACGTTGGAAACCTGAAAACACTGGAGAGCTGCTGAGGAGGCCCATCCTGGGGCGAAACACCTGTCCAGTACTTCCAGGTTTTCAATGTCTTTTAAACTGATATCAGTCCACGACGAATATCAACCTGACTTTATATGTATACAAATTAAAAAAATATTTAGTCAGAAAAGACTAATTTTCTGCTCCATCAGCATCACTGCCTTACAAAAAGAATCAAACAAAACCTCCTCCTTGAATTAGGCTCTCAGAATTTCGTTCAACCGATTTCAACTAGAAAACTCAAGTATCGAGAAAAAAAGTGCACAGAAATCTGACAATAGCAGATAAAAGATTAAAAAGGAAGATAAAGGAAATTTAACTGATCAAGTGGATAAATTGATGAGTGTTTAAATTGAAAGGCAAAATGAAAATGAAGTTAAAGTGAATATTTTCAGAAAAAGTCTATTAAACCGATTGCGTTTAAACAGCATACAACACACATATACAAAATAGACACATCATCAAACTTTAGACTCCATCAAGATGATGATGATGACGGTGAAAATAATAATCATATCAGAAATTAATCACTGATACCAAAAAACTAAGTGTCATAGTTTGTTTTTAGTTGATAAAATCCAGACAACCCCCTTTTCATTATCTTCCAACACTTTCCTCCATTTATCTCCTAAGATTTTGAAGAGAAAGATTGTTAAATCATAGTTCTTTCTTAACAATACAGTACGTAATAGATAAGTTCGTATAATCTTTAAAGATAAAAGAAAGGATAGAAAAACTAATAATCATAAAATCTGCACAATTAGTAATCAATTATTCTAACAAACATTTCATCCATTGTTAACAAAGTTGATCACTTACTCTTGATAATTCTTCAACTGCTTGTAATTGTCCATCCAATTCTCGACGTACCTGAGCAGCTTGTTCATCAGCATTATCCAACTATGCAATGGAAAATAATATTTTAAAAAAATTAAATTACAACCTAAAAACCAATACTCAATCATATTTGGAAAAGTAATCATTTCGTTGAAGCTTTGACTAATAAGAAAACTGGACACAAGTTTGATAAACGTAGGTAGTATATCCTAATCACTATTATTTGGGTTATACTAAAGTAGTGCTGAGTATTTCAAACAATTATTCTCTTTTATGAATTTGGATGATGTAATTAGATTTTGAGGGAGTTGTGGAGATTTGGAATTATTTCAAGTTGTTATTCATCGAAGACTGACATCAGTTGGAGGAACAAAGGAAACCTGGGAGCACTGGACAGCTGTTTCGTCCTAGTATGGGACTCCTCAGCAGTGCGCACCCACGACCCCACACCAACAGGAATCGAACCCGCCACCTTCAGGTTACGCGGCCAGCGCGTTACCATTAGAAGACGTAGATTATCTGAAAAATGGGATGCATTAGCGCTATACATTTCAAACAATCTGATCACACATTTACTTATCAAGGCATTATCTATGAAAACTGGAAGTGGGAGAAGGGCAAATATGACATAGAAAAATTCAATAATAATAAAGATAATGAGATGAAAACGAAAAAGATAAGATTTGAAGACAATCTTGGTAATACGATAAAATAAGCATTACCAAGGTAGGCTTAATGTAAGGACAAACTGTTTTTTCACACACAATAGGGGGTTAAATTTATTTATGGCTAGCACCTCAATAAACTTAAGTATACGCCCCTGACAGTCTCTATACAAAATTGTATAGGCTGTTTTAATATCAATTCTGCGACTCTTATCAATGATATGTTTTACAGTGGATGATGATGGTTGTCTGTCATCTGCGCTTATCAATGTTTATGAATCCAGCTGCTTTAGTAGCCATTTTGGAACATGTTCCACTATCCTCAAGTGCATATCACAATTAGTCCTCCCTATGTATGTTCTTCCACACACACATGTAAATTTATAAACGCAGTGGGATGTGACGCAATCGTTTATACAGCGTTGAGGTCTAGATTGCAGCAGGTGTTTGGTCTTCTCAACTACGATAAGCTTAGTTGCATATTACGCTTTGCTAACAGAAGAACTTAACCTTCATTTTAATATTATGCTGTTAGGTTCTCTTCTGTATGGTAACGCGATGTAACGCATTTCTTCGAAACAAGTAAATAAAATGTACTACTCATAAAAACGTTAAGTATATGTCTTCTCAGTTTACCGGGTTGAATCATTAACTGTTTAGCGCTACTCTCTTTAACAGTGGTTAGAAAACATTCGATACGAAGACCATTGGTACATGTGAAGAAGAATTAATTTTCGGAAGTCAATGTTTGAAGATCACTAAAATACTTTACTGACATAACTATGACTTACATGAATGTGAAAATTGCTGCGAAACGAAACACCAAGTACAACACTCATATTTATCATGGACGAATTTGTCTACTGGACTGTGATCCACAGTTAATGTATAGGAAAGAAAGTTAATTCTAAGATTAAAGTGAGCGAATGAGTTCTAAATCTACAACTCACTGGTTAATGGTGAAATGTCTAAACTAATGAGCTACAATTTTAACATATAAATGAAAAATTAAGTACTCTCATTGAGGTCAGATAAGATGCATTTTATAAGCATCATTATACTAAAAGAAACGAAATAGCTACTAAGCATTTTGTATTCCGAGCATTCAAATTCGAAATACGTTAAGTAAAATTATGTATACATCATAGAATTGGAAATCCACTGAATTAACTGAAATGTGGATAAGCGAAAAGACTACAATAGAACTATTTCGCAATCAGACAATAAGATGAAAACCAAATCTATTTAAGTCAGGGAATTAAGTGGGGAATTGAGGGATTTTTCAAGTTGGTATTTATCACAGACCGACATCAGTTAAAGCAACATTGGAAACCTGAGGGCGCTGGACAGCTGTTTCATCCTAGTAGGGGACTCCTCAGCAGCGTTCAGCCATGGCCCCGACCAGCTATGGATCAAACTCAGGACCTTCAGGTTCCATGGCTAGCACGTTACCATTGGGTTACGACCCAGTGGGTCAATGGTAACATGCTGGTCATGGAATCTGAAGGTCCTGGGTTCGATTCCTGGCGGCGCGGGTCATGCGTACGCACTGCTAAGGAGTCCCATACTAGAACGAAACAGTTGTTCAGTGCTCCCAGGTTTCCAAAGTTCCTCCAACTGATGTCAGTCCATGATGAATACCAACTTGAAAAATAAATCATAAAATTAAATATTCTAAGATACTCAACATTCCATCTTCTCAGTAGGTAACTAATAAAAAGTTTCTCCCCACGAGCAACTAACAAAATACACAGAACTGTTTACAATTTCGTTTTCAGAATCCTTTTCACTAAGTGATATCATATAACCAGAATAGTCATAAATCATTAAAACATCTACCTGTAAGGGGATGTTGCAAAAAAGCTAAAAAGACAATCTTTATAGTGGGAGGATTACAAACAGGAGTCAACTGTAAGTATCACATTAGATCTCTACCGCTGCATTGGTTTTATATGATCTGACCAAATGGCAAAATAATTCAACCGTCTATACCTTAGCAGTAATCGAAATTTAAATGCTAGATTTCATGTCCTGTTTAGACTAAACACGTGTTGTACTAAATGAATTTTATATTACGTAAAAAGATTCAAGATTTTCTATTCTACAAAATGACAAAACTAATTTTTTTTAATTTTAGACAAAGATTTAAGTAAGGTTCAATAGTTTCTTTTCAAGAAAAGATACCCTGTCTTGCTATCTATACTTAACATCAGATATCTGAACAGTCTGGTTACCTCAATTTACGATAGACTATGCACTGAGATATTATCTGATAAGTATGAAAAGGTAGTATTTCTTTCAAAATATTGTTTACAATTTGTTATATTTACACAGATCCAATTTCAGTATAAACGGAAATGAGATTATATTTGCCAAGTTCGACAAGTTGACTTAATCGAAAAAATATACGCCTACTGAAAATTATTTTTAACATAAAATGTAAGTAAACAGTTCAATCAAATTTAACCAGCAGTTTATACTTCATATTACTCAGATAAGACGTTTGAGATATAAAATAGTCAACGAAGAGCTTAATTCTTAGTTGTTGAACATTCCAAGAACAAAGACATTTACAGAATAAAATAAGCTGATTTTATTTCATGACCTTTCATCAGCTGCAAACAGCCTACAATTGAAGTGAATTATTAGTAGTAATAATAACCATAACATACTTTAAACATGCAGAAATAAATGGAGATTTGAACTTCAGGATTAGCAATAAGGTAATGAGTCAAAAAAACACAGGATTAATAATTACATATCTTAGTCAACATCTATGGCTGTTTATATCTGATGAGATTGAAAATTCTCGAGCTGTAGAGTAGAGGGACAACAAACGAAAATCATTGTAAAAGAAGGGACTGTTTAAGGGCTAAAAGGTTACATAATTATATGAAAGACTTGAAAATCGTTAAGTGATTAGAATTCAGTAAGTAATTAATGAAGAGATGATGCAATCAAAAGAAAAAGGAAGACTATGTATATACATATGCAAAAAATTATATACATTTACCAAGGTAAGAAAGGTTAATAACAGTCTCCTTCTGAGTACATAGGTCAGGTTGAAAATTTTTGGTAGCGAAAGCTTCCGCAAACCGTAATAAACATGGTGTTCTTTGTTTACTGATTATCCTGAAAGATTGAGAAATACCTATTTGATGTCCTGTTTCTATCAGATGCTTGGCGATTGCGCTTTTAAAGACCATTCAGACACAGATTTCTCGCGATATGCTCATAAAATCGAGTAGACACCCGTCTTTCGGTCCATCCTATGTACTTGCTGCTAAAAGCACAGGTGAATTGATATACGCAGTTGGAGGTGACGTGAAATGAGTATTTGTCTACTCTCGACTTTATTGTTAGAAATAAATTATGACAAAAGCATAAATATGGTTTGCGTTATAAATACGTAAATATGTCTGCAGTCACCTTATGTAGTAAAAGACAACTGATGACTTATACACGTGTCAAATAAACAGTCGGTGACCTCATTAACGGTATCACTTTCGAAGCTAACCTCTGTCAAGCTTCTTCTAAATTTACAACTAGAATCAATAAGTGCTGGTTATACACAGACAAGATATGATCCAGATGTTCTGAATACGGGTTACCAATGTCACTGAGTGAATTTTGCAACTAGTATTTTACCATCCAACCATCTATCGAAATGTCTTTTTAGTCGTATGACCAAGGACCCATGGGACCTACCAAGTCGGAGATGAGGACAAGCACTTAACGATGACATTTGATCGTGAACTGACAGATGTGGGAAATGTGGATCACTGGACTTTGACCCAGTGGCTCATTCACAACATGCTGACCAGAAAATATGAAGGTGCTGAGTTCGATCATTATCGTGGTCATGGGTGCGCATTGTTGAGGAGACACGTACTATAAGACAAAACAGTTATCCAGTACTCACAGGTTTCCAATGGTTTTCCAAGTGATCTCAGTTCATGAGGAATGTCAACCTGAAATCAATAAGTAAATCCCCACAAACCTCCAAATTGAATAATGGAATAATTACCTTTGAGAATATATCAATCCCATAAACATTGTGCACACCAAGAAAGTGTTTAGAAAAGAAATCCATTTGATTACCACGCAACTAAGATACACTTATCAGTGGCCACAGTATAACCGAAACAAAAAGAAATGAAATAACTTTCAAAAAATATGTGTACAACAACTTATAACTTTCAGAAACTCTCTACCCACTATTATTATAGTAATATTTATCCTTTGGGTTCCTAGTGAAACACAGGACTTCAGTAACACAGCGCCATATCACTCTGTTCTCCACAATCTTTCCAACCTGACCCACCACTGCCCACAAGCTTTCATTTCTTCCTCACATGGTCTCTTCCATGACACGCTCACCTCGGACGCCCAACTCGT